GTATCTATGAAGCGCCTTGAGGTGACTTTTGTTGTGATTTGGCGCTATATAAATAAAATTGAATTGAATTGAATTAGTTTGCACTTGTGTGTAGAAGTGCTTGTATGAGTGGGTGTGAATGGGTGAATGAGGCATGTTGTATACAGTGCTTTGAGTACTCCGGGAGAGTAGAAAAGCGCTATATAAAAATCAGTCCATTTACAATTTACCATAGAAGACAGATTATAGGGCGCATTAAACCAAACAAAACAGTCAGATAAACTTTATTAAACTCATTCACAATAACTTTCAACATTGTTAAGTTGTAACACATTAAATACAGAACAGTACATTCATCTTCCACAAATCCATCAAATTATTCATCTTCAGTGTCTGATTTTAACAGATTTTTGCATCAAGTATTCCCGGATCCCTCTCACACCAGATTTAAAGGCATATAATGTGCATTCAGCAAAATAAAGCAATCCGATGAGTTAAACTTTAACCAACTTATTCACGGTAACTCTTAACATGCTGTAACACATTAAATACTGAACAATACACTTACTTTTTCAGTACATTCAACTTCCACAAATCCATCAAATTATTCTTCTTCAGTGTCTGAGTTTAACAGTTGGGTGATTTCGGCATCAAGCATGTCCGGATCCCTCTCACATCGGATTAAATGACAATCTCCTATTTGCCATAATGGCACCGGATACCGGTACCCATCCCTTGTATTAACTCGGTGCCTTTGCCAACACCTAAGGCTGCCTGTTTATTTAAGGGAGATGAACAAAATACATTACGACTGTACATAATAACCTCACAGATGATAGATTTTAGGTAGATGCTTGTGCATTAAAGTCTTCTATTTTAAATAAAACTGAGTATGTCATCTGTTCAAAGCCTCTCCCAGTCAGTGCTGTTCTCCATGCCTGTCTTACTGTACATGATGTTATTAGCACAAACACTTTAAAGGTGATAATTTAGGAATTCAACAATAATACAGACAGCAATATAGTTAAACATCTTACAGTTAGTTTTATTTGGAATGAACTTTAAAAAAACAAACAAACAAGAAATCTCCTATGAAGATGAAGATGATCCCTGAAGATTTTTCTAAGCTGCAGATTCTAAATGTGTGCTTAGAAACCATCAAAGGTTGGATGGCTGACAACTTCCTCCAACTTAATGAAGAAAAGACTGAAGTCCTTGTATGTGCTCCAGACAGACATGTACCTAACATAATGAATGCTCTTGGTCCTCTTTCAACATGTGTGAAATCGTCTATCAGGAACCTAGGGGTAACCTTTGATTCTGCTCTTACCCTAGATGTCCACGTCAAATCTCTAGTTCGGTCATGCTTCTATCATTTAAGAAACATTTCTAAATTGAGCCCTATAGTATCTCATACTGAACTGGAGATTGTTATTCATGCATTCATTTCATCACGATTGGACTACTGTAATTCACTGTTTACATGTCTAAACAAAAACTCCCTAGAGCGTCTGCAGATTGTCCAAAATGCTGCAGCAAGGCTTCTGACTAAAACATCAAAATACTCTCATGTAACACCGTTGCTTATACAGCTGCACTGGCTCCCCGTTGAATTCAGAGTCCATTTTAAGATTCTGGTTCTGACATTTAAAGCTATTCAAGAACAAGCACCAGCGTACATCATTGAACTTTTACAGCCCTATGCCCCTAGTAGGTCCCTGAGGTCTTGTGATCAGGGCCTACTTGTTATTTAGTATACAAGACTGAAAACCAAGGGTGATAGAGCTTTTGCCACTGTGGCCGCCAGACTGTGGAATTCTCTTCCTCAGAACTTAAGATCTGCAGACTCAGTGATTACGTTTAAAAAACAGCTAAAAACACATCTTTTTAAAATTGCATTTTGTTAACTTTTGACTGTTTTTGTTTTATACCTTGTAAAGCACTTTGTGATCTTTTATCTAGAAATGTGCTATATAAATAAAATTTTACTTACTTACTTACTATTTGTGTCATAAGAGAAGACTTATTAATATGGCCTTACTATTTTGTGGTGTTTGGTGCAGTTTTCCATGCACTGCGTCGCATCGTACCCTCTCTCTGTGCTGTGTTTCTCCTTTCGTGTCCTGAAAAATATTTGAGTTCCTAGTTCATGTTTTTTTCCCCCCTTGAGTCTCTTAGTTTTAGGTTCCAGTGTCCAGTTTAGCGTTTAGTTTTGTATTTGTGATTTTTGTTTTGTTTTGTAATGATTATTTCTTTGAAGAATGTTCCCAGTAATAAAACTGCGCTTTAAGTTTAACCTTTTGCTTATGAATCCTGCATTTGGGTCCTACCTCCTGCCTGCCACACACCACGTCATGACAGAATGATGTAACCACTACATGGACCCAGTGGGCTTATCCCGGGAGCGCGACCTGGCCCGCATCGAAGGCCTTATGATACGAATTTCCCACACCTCGGTTATCAAGGCAAGGGTGGTAGGAATAAACACCACTGAGGCCATTCTATAGAGGAATTCTCATTTTCGCCAACCCCTGGAAGTAACGGGCCTGGTTACAGAGCTGCATTGAGTCTGGGACACGCTACAAGCTCAGGAGCTAGCAGACTTTGTGTCCCGGCGATCTACGCAGCAACAACAGAGGCAGAGCAAGGATCTCCCCGCGGCACAGCAGCTGTGGCGACCGCCACAGTGGAAAGGCATTTCCACGCTGCCGCCACAGAATTCTTCTCCCTTCATGTCCTGCTTGGACTACTGTTCGTCAGCCTCATTCCTGGCAGCAATGCTTTTGTAGGATGAGCAGCCAGCCTCC